AACAGGTCCAAATAACCGTCGGGAACATTGTATTACACAATGCTACGCCTCAAGAGGGCGTTCGGCCAGATAAATCTGGCAATACGGCTAGAAATACTGTCGTATATTATATATAATATTGAAGGGAGTTAACACTGTTGAATAAATATAATATAAATCATCAAATGTACATATACAGTGTTTAAATAAGAACAATATATATATATAAATAAATATAAACACATATATATATACATATTATATATATATAATATGTATAATATATATATATATATATATTATGAATCCTTTTGTCATGATACATATCCAAGTTGTTAAATAGTGCATTACAATCAAGGTATCTGATGGGCCAGTCAATTTGGGCCCACAGTATGCCTATATGGCGGAAATCCCTGAAAACTCTAAGCTTGAAGGTGGATAAGGCATTATCTTTAGTTTCAATTAGCAAATTTGCCTTTACCTGTAAATACATTTTCACCATTACAGGCAACAGCATTTTTCATAATCATTGATACTATGATTTGGGAGATTTATATGTTTAATATTGTTATTGCAACATTGTGTGCAAACCTAATATGCCATTTGGGTGTAAAACCAATACGAAACAAAACATTGAAGTAATCGTCACTTTCGTTTTCGTTTTAAATTAACAGTGGGATATATTATACATTTGCCTTAATGGCATAACTATACTTACCATTTGTTTCCGTAGTGGACTCCACCGCTGATGATAATAGTCTACCATACAAAACTGTAACAACAACTATATACGTTTTTCCGTTCATATTTTCCTACACAGGTTGTTTCCCTGAATGTTAGCTGTGACTTATCGAACAAATCTCATGCGACTGCTACCTACTGATCAACTACGGATGAAGAAATAGTGTTCCCACCGGTTCACTCCAATTAAATTTTTCCAATACAGGTGTTCAGTTCCAAACAGCCTTCGAGTATGAAATATGAATACATAAGAAACTCTCAGTTTCACCTAATAAAATTATACCACCAGGAAAACGATATTAAAATGAACTAGGAAGCGTTGCAGCCGGATGATTGGAATACGTTCTGGTGACGCCCCGTCAACTTACAACCAAAATATACACCGTATACACGACTGGTCACGAAAAATAACACAACACTTCAGCAAAATGGTTGGAGGCGAATGACGTCACGCCCGGCGACCTTCCATAATTCTTTATAGTATTTCCTTCTTTTCTGGTTAAGGATATAACAATAAGAATTGAAGTAGGTTAATACAGTTATTGTTTGATTAGTAGTACGGCGGTTTAAATCCACGATAATATAATGGAAAGCGGAGGCATGGTTTCTCACAGTGCAATGAGCAGTGACGTAATACTTCATTTTCAGGCACCGGTA